AGTTAACGTTGTGCCTTTTACAGCCTACCTCCTTCCAGTTCTACTACAGAACTGCCACTCAGCTTTCTGGTCCCTTGGAAAAGGCAGCAGTTGAACACAGCGTGGGGAACTCCCAGAAGAGGGAATAGCTTTGAGTGATGGTGCAGAGGTGGAGAAAGCATGAAGCAGGGACCTGCAAGCTTTTCACCAGGCCTCTGAATGGGGAGCAGGAAGCCAAGGTGGTTTGGGGCCAGAGAAATTAAGAAGCTTGATTGCAATTCTAAGAAGTTTTGATTTTCTTCTAGGTATGCAACAAGGAGCCCCTGTTTTACAGGAGGCCTGTGTTTCTGAGCAGTTCATCTGGGCAGTGTGTGGAGAGGGTGAGTTAGGGTAGGGAGACTCACTAGGACACTATTGTCAGTCTCGGCTAAAATCATTCAAGGAGAAATAAGGCCTCAGTGATAGAGGGAAAGCCATGACAGTGACCTATCTGACAGGAAAGGAGTGTCAGAGAGGATTCAGGTATTCCAATGGCAAGCGTGAGGTGTTGTTAGTAGACATGGGGAAGGCAGGAGGACGCTCTGGGTGATATCTGGTGGCAGGAGGACGCTCTGGGTGATATCTGGTAGGGTCTACTGGGGGACATCACTCCTGCCCACAATGGTGTGGACGAAGATACCAGGATAAAATCAGTCAGGTATCATGCTGGGGTTTCAGCAGAGGAGAGAGCATGTATCCAATAATCTCTCTATCCAGTCATCACTACCCCTGCTTAAAACTCTTTGAAGTTTCCCCATTGCTCTTAGGAGAGACTGGTCTTTTCCACTGCCCACAAAATTGGTGTAACTCTTATGCCTCACATCTCTGTATGTACCACACTAGTCTTCTGTAAGCCCCACTCATGGGCCATGGTCACCACTGTATCTTCAACACTAATATATAGGTACTGAATAAACTGATGCTACTTCAGCCACAGGACCTTTGCACATGCCACCCATGTATTTATCCTTAACCATCTTCCTTTTCCTCTTTGGCTGCTCAGAATTTACTCACCCTTTAGATCTCAGTTCAAGTATCACTTTTCCAGGAGCACCTCTCCTGACTAGGTCCAATCTCTTTTATATTCTTTATAGAGACATGTTCCTCCCCTTTTTAGAATTTTACATTGACTTGTAGGAATATTTGCCTAAAGCCATTTCCCCCACAGACTGTAAAGTCCAGGAGGCAGGGGTATTGTGCTTTCTATGAACACTGTCTCCTGTACTCAGGTTGCTTAATGGAACTCTGTAATGCCCAGTGGATATTTGCAGAATGAATGAGTGAGTGAGTGAGTGAGTGAGTGAATGAAAGAGTGAATATTCCATTGGTGCCTCTGGGAAGCGATTGAGAAGCAAGTAAATGTGCTTGAGTAGCACCTTACAGGACAGATAGAATTTCAACAGATGGTGTTGGCCTTCAAGTAACCAGCACAGAACTGGGAAAAGCTCAGAAGAGGGCTTGGCCAGAGGCAGTGGGTGAATGTCTAGGAGAAACAGGGAAATGGAAATCAAGAGAAATGAAGGGTTCCAAGGCCAAAAAGACAAGTAAGCCAAATCTTGGAAGGATTGAAATGTCAGGGTGAGGACTTGGTTCTTAACTTGGAGACACCAGGGAGCCAGGCAGGGTGGGTGAGGACGATGACCCAGCCCAAGCTTCTCTCTGGGGGGCGGACGGACACGACAGGGTAGCAGGTGACTGGAGCAAGGAGCTGGGAACAGAAAACCACCTCAGGAGGCAATTGCAAAAGCTTTGGTCAAACTTGCAAGGTCAGGGTATTGTAGGTAAGAGATGAGCAGAGTGAAATTCGGGTGGGGAAATGAAAGAAACTTGGCAACACATGGGAAATTTGAGAAAGAAGGAAAGCCATGGGTGACCGGGCTGTGAGCTCCTAAGCCTCATGTCTTTTTTTGTCTCTGTTTCCCCAGTAGAGAAAGAGATTCCTTTTGTTAGATGTTGTGCAAAGGAAACTAATCTGGGAGCTGCAAATGCTCAGAGGTCATAAAAAGAGAGAAAATCTGGCCCAAAGACCTATTCTATTTGGCTCATTCTGTGCTGAGTTGGCAACGTTTAGAAGAAGAGAGATTTCGCATCAACATCCTATATTTCTTCAAGACTGCCCTCACTGGTCACCATGTCCCCCAGGGCACCCATTGGCCGAGCTCAGGTAGCCCTGTGTGGCTGCTCCCCAACACTCCACCTGGTCTCACTCTCAGAGGGGTTCACTCATTCCCTGCGAGGGCAGCCGATCAGCTCCCGGAGGCTGCTTTTTGATGTACCGTAAACCATGACACGTCCCATCACTGATCTGGGGGTTCCTGGAATGGGGGTCCAGGGGTTCTGCCTTGAGCACCTGTGCTCACAAAGAAATCTGACAAGACGCGGTTGGCAAGGAGGCGCAGCACTTCTGTGCCTTCTGCCACCACCAGCACTCAGGACCGAGGGGCTAAACGGGTGCCATGCAATCACCGCCATGGTGTAAATGACTAGATCAGGGCATAGATGGACTTCATCAGACTTTTATTGAATACGTTCATCATGCCAAAAACATCTTTTTTTATTTCAAATTCAAATTCCATTTGAAAAAGGAGGCCACAAATGACTGTTGGGATCCCAGCCAGCTCCTGGAGGAGCCCCCATGTTCGTGAGAAAGCACGCACATCCGACAGCTACGTGATTTGATCACTCAGAACTGCATTTTGGGAAACTCCTAGAGATCCCTTGCAGGATGCCAGTTGTGTCTGTAGTCGGTGGCTGGGAAACAACAATGTAACCCCATTCTTAGACCTCTCAGAACATCGCTGGCTTTAAAACTATTGACTCTCAAGGATCTACCAGCCTAGAATACGTGTGTGTACGTGTGCATATATATATTCCCACTGAAAAAAATCACTGGTTTTGTTGCCTGCTGGCCGTCACATCGGACCCTTAGAATGACCTCAGCACCCCTGGCTCCCCTCCTTGGTGGGATCCTGTGGATTCCGGCTGTGGCCGGGCAGCCCTTCAGGAGCGTTTGGACTTGCTACAGGTTGGGCACAGCAGCTGGCCCTTGGTGATGATGTACGCCCGGCCGCTCAGCTGCTGCTCACAGCCTTCACACACGAAGTGCTTTCGGTGCCAGGCCAGGTCTTCCACACGCTGGTAGTCCTCGGAGAATATGATCTGGGGAGGGGAGCAGAGACAGTGCGCCAGTCAGGTTCTGTCCCTTGTGGAGACAGGACATCGAGGACAAGTTGCAGAATGGTGGTTCCTCCTCCCCCATTCTGGTCTCGACCTTCAAATGCGTCAGTGGAGGAATGGGACACAAACCTCAGGCAGTAAGTACCGTTATCTGCACAGGTCATAATTGCCTCTTAGCTTGTTAGATGGAAAACAAAATTCTCTGCCGTAGGCAAGTTTTACTTAGCTAGCAGCCATGATACTCTTTGGCCCGAATCCAAAGCCCGGCTTTGTTCTGAGATGGGATTACATATCCCGGTGAAGACAGACCAACAATAGCTAAGTGGCCAATGGCCAGTCTTCACCAGCAAGGTCACACAGGGTCACTGGGGCTTTGAATAAATAACACTTCTTTTTTTTAAGTTCGTTTTATTTTGAGAGAGACAGAGCGTGCAAGCATGCAAGCGGGGGAGGGGGAGAGAGAGGGAGAAAAAGAATCCCAAGCAGGCTCTGCATGGACAGTGCAGTGCAGAGCCTGGCGTGGGGCTCAAACCCACAAACCGTGAGATCATGACCTGAGCTGAAACCGAGAGTCGGGCGCTTAACTGACTGAGCCACCCAGGCGCCCCACACACTTTGGAATATGTATGTGTATGCTGAGGAATCCCTGAGGCTCAGAAAGAATTCAGAAAGAGCAGAACAGCTCTTCTCACCTCATCGCAGCCAGAGCACCGGGGCCGTATGCTCTCGCAGTAATGGCGGCCACACCAGGGGGCACCGTCCTTCCAGAAGTAGATGAGGTCCACCAGTGGCTCCGAGCACTTGGCACACACAAAGCAGGTGGGGTGCCACTGCTTGCTGTAGCCTGCCCTGTCTGAGTAGACCACAGGGCTGTCCGCAGGGGCCACTCCCTTGCAGAGCTCACAGACCTAGAAGGGGAGGAGGACACCAGGGATATAAGGTGGTCAGGAGAGCATAGTGACATGGGTTTGAGCTTCAGCTCATCTCTTTCCTTCCTGGGGGCCCTCCAGCAAGTTACTAAACCTCTCTGTTCCTCAGTTTTCTCATCTTCAAACCTACCTCATATGTTGCTGTGGGGACGAATTAGTTGTTTAGCTCAGTGAGTCTCAAACTTTTTATCCTCAGGACCCTTTATATTCTTACAAATTATTAAGAACCCCAAAGAATTTTTGTTCATATGGGTAACAGCTGTTGGGATTTACCAAAAGAAAAATTAAAACTGAATAAAAACTTGAATAACTATTTGTTGATTCATTTAAAATAATAAACCGACATGTTAATATAAATATTTGTAATTGAAAATAACTGTAGGGGCACTTGGATGTCTCAGTTGGTTAAGTGTCCCAACTCTACATTTTGGCTCAGGTCATGGTTTCATGGTTCACGGGATCAAGCCCCATGTCGGGCTCTGTGCTGACAGCTTGGAGCCTGCTTGGGACCCTCTCTCTCCCTCTCTCTCTGCCCTCTCCCGCATGTGCACATGCTCTTTCTCTCTCCAAACAAATAAATAAACGCTAAAAAAAAAAAAAAAAAAAAAAAAAAAAAAAAAAAAAAAAGCTCCATTTTCCCCAGACAGAAAAATTTAGTGAGAAGAGTGGCATTGCTTTATATCTTTGCAAACCTCTTTAATGACGAGCTCAATGAAGGACTGCTGGATTCTTGTAACCGTTGTAGCTTTTTGTCTTTTGCGTTATGTTGCTTTCTTTGAAATATATGAAAAAAATCTGACCTCACCCTGCTATGGAGTTAGAAAAGGAATGGAGGAGTATTTTAATAGCCTTTCCAGATAACTGTGGATATTCTTCCTTGATACTAAATCAAAATGGGACAAGTGATAGTTTCTCAAAAGTCAATGGGGAATCTGAACCATATCAATTAACCTTTCATCCTGCTTACATTAAAACCCACTGGACCACCTTGCACTTTGAATGGATCTTTTACCCACGTGTAATTTTTTTTTTTTTTTTTTTGAGAGACTGAGTAGGGGAGGGGCAGAGAGAGAAGGAGAATCCCAAGAAGGCTCCAAGCTGTCAGCGCAGAGCCCAACTCTAGGCTCAAACTCAGGAACCGTGAGATCATGACCTGAGCCGAAGCTGGGTGGTTAACCAACTGAGCCACCCAGGTGTCCTGTATAATTATTTTTTTTTAATGAACTTTACATTTTAAAACAGTTCTAGATTTACAGAAAAATTGTGAAGATAGTACAGAGAGTTATTTGCCCCACACCTAATTTCCTCTGTTCTTAACATCTTAAAGTGATCTACTTGTCACAATTAATTAACCAATATTGATGTGCTATTATTAAGTAAAGTCCCAATTTTATTCAGATGTTCTTAGATTTTCCTAATGTCCTTTTTCTATTCTGGGATCCTACATCACATTTAGTCCTCATGTCCCTTAGGCTTCTTTTGCCTGTGACTTCTCAGACTTCTTTTGTTTTTGACGACTTTGACAGTTTGGAGGAGTACTGGTCAGGTGGACCTCAACTGGGATCTGTCTGATGTTATTGTCATGATTACATTGGGAGAAAAACCACAGAGGTTAATTGCTATTCTCTTGACATACTTTCCAGAGTACATATGTAATCCATCAAATCTTTTGAGTCATTTTGGAGTTATTTCCAGCGCCTCAAAATTCCGATGATGATGATGATGATGGCAGTGGCTATCATTTCTTAAAGACAGGTCTACAGCCAGCGTTATGCTCAGGATTTTGCACTCCTTACAGAAGCCCTGGAGAGATATTCCCCCTTCTAGATTTAGCTCCCTTTTAAGGAAATCATTATTTCCCTCCAGACTTGGCAAAACTGAGTTTCAGAGAGTTTCAGTGGTTGTTCATTAATATACAGATGATAGGAGGCAAAGCTGGGATTTGAACATGGGCCAAGCCTGACCCCAAAGCCAAGGTTCTTTCTACTATACTGTGTGTAGGTGTCCATAAACTGCAGCCACACCAAACCCTGATGCTCCCTGTACTCGTAAGACCCACTGGCTAAGAACAGATTTTATGTTTGAGCTCCAATTCACTGAAATGTTTTCTCCCAAAAAAGAACTTCATTTTCCTCATTAGTAGACCTGTATTAAGGACTGAATTGTGTGCCCGCCGCCAGTTCATATGTTAAAGTCCTAACTCTCAATGTGACTGTATGTGGCTACAAGACCAGGTAATTAAGGTTAAATGAAGTCATAAGGATGGGGCCCTAATCCGACAGGACTGGTGTCCTTACCAGAAGACTAGGCACCAATCAACTTCTCTCCCACCCTGTGTGCACACAGAGGAAAGGTCCTGTGAAGACACAGGGAGAAGGCAGCTATGTACAAGCCAGGAAGAAGGGCTTCATCAGAAACCCACCACACCAGCACTTTGATCTTGGACTTCCAGCCTCCAGAATTATGATAATAAATTTCTGCTATTTAAGCCACCCAGTCTGTGGTGTTATGTTATGGTGGTCTGAGCTGACCAATGTAACCTGTATTACAAAAACCTGTATTTATATTATTAGATTGTGAATTTGAGAAATGGAAAACTGTGGAAATTTGTTTTCCCCTCTTGTTACATAAAGTACCTACATGATATCATCAGTTTTGGCTCTGGGCCTACAATCCCTAAAATATTTACCATTTGGCCTCCATGAGAAAATGTTTGCAGACCCCGGCTTTAGATGAGGACTCTAAGCTTACCAAGCACCAATTATGTGTCAGCCAAACTAGAAATTTCGTTCTGCCATGCAGACATGAGTAGGCATTAGTTAAGAGCCTAGATACTTGGCATTCTTAAGTTATATAGTTTAATTACATTCTTAATATATATTCTTGCGTATGAAGAAAAAATAAAAGCTACGATGACAAAAAATAAGGAAAGAAAACCAGACCACAAAGAATGCCCACGTACTGACAGGGGTCCCTGAGCACAGTAGTTGTTGAATGAATATCTACATAAAAAATATGCTTGGCTAATGGATCCGGACAGCTTGACAATGTTCCTTAGAATGTGCTGGACTTGTTGTTTCAGTTGTGCCCACAAGAATGAATGGTGTGAGTCCTTCACCGCAATGAAAACCCTGTTCCTCTGCACGTGACTGAGTCCCAGCTCCCATGGAGCTCATCAGAGGTCTTAAACCAAAAACAAGTGATGAATCATCATTTACTTATTTTCACCATCCCTTCAGCACAGCCAGGACGTGTAAACTATTTGGCAAGTGTCATGTGAGTACCAAGTGAGTTTTCTGTCCGCCTGGCTTTCTAAATTTCATGGGATGAAATTTCCAGCCCTTTTCGTCCAGCAAAGAAGGGACTTGGGGCCAATCCACCACCTTGGCTGGGTATCACTGTGGTACACAGTGGGGCTCCCAACTCCAGATTTCCAGATGTTGCTTAACACGGAAGCAGAGGAAGGGAAAGAGATAGAAATGCACGTAGCGGAGTCTGGGGAGCATCTGAAAGCACCCACAACCCACAGAAGGAAATGGAGGGCTGGGAGGTCAGAGGGGCAGTCTGGGTGGCTGTGAGCCTAGGTTATGGCTGAGATCTCTGGAGGTAATGGGGGGCCATTACTGGTTCTTGAGGCTGGAAGGGCTGTGTTTGGTTTGCACTGGAAGGAGATAGTTGTAGTGGCAGAGGCAGCATGGAGAAGGGAGGGAGAGTCATGCTCGCAGAGCTTGGTCCCGACCTTCCCCCACCACATCTGAAAGTGCTGTCTTAAGCACCTCCCTCAGTGAGGAGTGGCCCTTCCCTCATTGTTCCCTCAGCATCCCTGGCTCCTGGCCTCGTTATTACCAGTAGCCAGCCCTTTTTAAAGCAAACAGTGTCACTGCCATTTTATGAAAACAAGATGTCCGAGTAATGAGCCCTGTCAGCATGTGTCAGGAACAAATTTCCTCCCTTGGCCTCTGAGCTATTTTCTGTGTTCCTTTCCCTGTCTGACAGTGTCCTGGATAGTAGATCTGACAGTGTGCTGGCTCTGTCAGCCTGGTGGCCCCTCAGCCACCAGGGGCTGGCTGGCAACCAAGAGTCAGAACGCCCCCTCGCCTGCTTGGCTCCTAGGATCCTTGCCTTGCCTTTCTCTGCACGAACTTATTCTCCAACAATCCTTGGTACTGAAGTGGACAATTTCGAAATTGCAGTAGGTAGCTGAGAGTGGGGCTGGCTGTGTGACCTTGGACAAGTTACCCAACCTCTCTGTGCCTTAGTTTTTTCACCCATCAAGTGAGGATACCAATAATATTAACAATGTCATAGAGCTGTTGCATGGATTAAATGCGATAATAGAGTTAATGGACTTTATAAGGGCTCAGTAATAATTAGCTAAAATCTCTGGTTATCCGTACCCCAGCTCTCTTTATAGATGAGAGACCTGTGGCCCGGAGGGGTTAAATCCCTTTCCCAAGATGACAAAGACATATTGGAGGCAGGATGAGCTTTAGGTTTGGAGGCCTGAGGTTCCTTTCCATAACACCATGATCATGTAGGTTGGCGGGAAGTGACTTTTCCCACCGATGAGCTTTGTACTTTCCCATCTCCATTGTCTCCATCTGTGCATGGCCAGAGAATAGGGTTCTGGGAGTTGTATCGTCCATCACTACCCCAGACTCGGCTACAGTCAGTCCTCTCCCCCAAACCGCCCCCTGTAAGACCCTGGTTCTCAGACTGAAGTCTGCACCAATACCCCCCAGAGGGCTTCTTAAAACAGACTGCTGTGCCCCACACCCACAGTGTCTGATTCGGATAGGTCTGGGATGGGGTGCAGGAATCTGGAAGCTCTGGGGGATGCTGGTGTAGTCAGGGGACCCACTTTGAGAACCACTGCCACACAGAGTTTAAAAATGACCTTAAAAATAAGCTCAGCAAAAATGATATCATCAACTCTGTTCAGTTATAGCAAACGCCAGTTTGAATTCCTGGGATGCTTA